TAGCTCCAGATTCTCCAAGACAGATCTGTTTGTTCTTCAGGCAGTGTGAGATACTATCACTATTCCTCCACGACAGCATCGCTCAAATGCATCAGTTCTTTTCAGTCTCCTTATTTATGACCCAGCGTTCATGTGCGTATGAGGCTACTGAAAGTGCCAAAACTGGGCTCAGGGGCATGGTAGTCCTTAAAGTGACATCTTGGCTCGTCGGCACTTCAGAGAGGTCTTTTACAGCAGATTTGCCTGGTGCTCTCCACCCTTGGCTGCGATGAGCACGGACTGAGGATCCAATAGGAAATCCTGGACAACTTCAATGTCCCCCCAGCATCCTGATGCTGTCTATGGATCCAGTGGTGAGGATTGCTGTTTTCTTTACATGGAGGTGTGATCCACATTGAAGGCCGTGGGCCTGGATTCCCACCCTCAGGGTTTTCAAGTCCCCTTGGCTCTCAGTCAGCAAGGCTATTTTATCCTCCATTCTCTTATCCTGATGGCAACTTCTTCTTCAGAAAGTCCAGTTTCTGGGAATATATGCTCCACACACAGAGTGAATAAGTGTAATGAAAAGATAGAGCTCTGATGCACATCTTTCCCGATTTTATTTTATTTTTATTTATTTGATCATTTATTTTATATTTAAATAAATCATTTTACTGGAGGCTTGTACAGCTCTTTCCTGATTTTAAACCAAGCAGCATTCCCTTGTTCCATTCAAATGATTTCCTCTTGGTCTTGAGAAGAGGTTCTTCATGAGCCCAATGAAGTGTTTGGAATTCATGTTATTTGCAATGTTACCAATAATTTGTTATGATCCACACAGTCCTATGCCTTTGCATAGTCTTCTTGATACATAAATATTTTTCTGAAATTCTGTGCTTTCAGCCAAGATCCACTGCCATCAGCAATGATATCCCTCGTTCCAGAGCTCCTGCGTCTGGTTGAATTACTGGCAGCTCCTGTTCTGCTGCAGCTATTTTAAATTATTGTAACAAAATTTGACTTGCACGTGCTATTCTTGATAATTTTGATAATCTCCAGTCTGTTGGCTCATCTTTCTTTGGAATGGGCACAAATATGGGTCTGTTTCTATCAGTTGGCCAAGTAGCTGTGTTCCAAATATGTCAGAATAGACCAGTGTGTTCTTCCAGCTCTGCATATATTTTAATATTTCAATTGGTATGCCCTCAATTACTTTAGCTTTATTTATTTATTTATTTTGGTAATGTCTTCAGTGCAGTTTGGACATCTTCCTTCAATACCATCGTTTCATGATCCTATGCCACCTCTTGAAATGGTCCATTGTCAACCAATTCTTTCTGGTCCGCTGACTGCGAATTCCTTCCATCGTCTTATGATGCTTCCTGAATAATTCAATATTGTGTCTGTTTGGTTTTGTTAGGTGCGATCGAGTCAGTCCCAACTCACAGCGAGCCTGTGTGCAACAGAACTAAACCCCACCAACCTCGCAAGTGTTCCTGTAGTTGGTCCCATCATTGCAGCCACTGTGTCAATCTATCTTCTTTCTTTATTGTTTCAATCTATCTTCTTAAAGGGCTTCTTTTTTTGTTTGCCTCTCCACTTTCCCAAGCCTTCTTGTAAGGGCCTCGTGTCTCCTGGTAACATGTGCAAAGTGTGTGAGACGAAGTCTTGCCATCCTTGCTTTTAAGGGGCATGGTGGCCATTCTTCCAAAGAGATCTCTTTGCTCTTTTGGCAGAAGATAGTCAGACCTTGCTTCCAAATGACCTTTTGGATGGCTCAGCCTCTAACTTTCTGCCTGTATGCAATATCTCTCCACCCAATGGCTCTAGAATATTCAATCTACGACAAGACCTGTTGGCATGTGTGTATGCATGTGTGTCAATTAAGATCTTGGCAATTTTATGTACTACAAAGTAGAATTGCCTTAAAGGGTGTTCTTACCTGTCATCCTATGAAAACAAATCACCAGGCCTTTCTTCCATGCCACCTCTCGGTCATTAGAACTTTGAACTTTCTGTTTAATTGGCAGAGCAAACCATTTCTCCTACCAGAAACCCTTCTTGAGTGCTGACTGATTCAGAAGGAGGCAAGCTTTCTGAGTCTGGTCCTCTCGGGTGTAAGGCTGACAACAGTGATTGTTATTGCTGTTTCAGATGCTCCAGTGGAAATGGTCTGTTTTGAGAACTATCTCAAAGGCGTCCTGCTTAGGTACCATATACACTCGAGTATACGCCGAGTTTTTCAGCACATTTTTAATGCAGTTTTTGCAGTAAAATTTGGTGCCTTGGCTGATATTCGGGCCGGCTTTTACTTGAGTATATACAGTAAGCAGACTCGTCGGAAGGCTGAATGGCAGGGAGTTGTGGACATGGTGAACTCATCTTAACTTTGGGAAAAGGATCAGATGATCACATTCCTTATGGACTGGATTGCAAATAAAAATAATAAAACTATTGAAAATGAGCAGCTGCTGCCCCTAATCCATAGTATTGCACTAAGGAAGGCAGCATATTGACCCTGAGTGACCTGGGCTGGACCAGAACACAGCTACACCCTGACCCTTCTCTCCTGGAGACAGACCACTTACAACCACTTACAACGTGCAACCAGCTTCTTTATTGCATATTGATTTAGGCAAGGTGATTAAATTCTAATTGCTAAGGACAAATTACAAAAGCATTTACCAGAGCCAAAACTCAAGCAAGGGGGTCGATGACCTTTGATAATTGTTCCCATCGATATTCCTGGGGACTTCCTGAAGAGGATTCAAGACCAGCACATATTGGGAAGCTTAGTGTGGGTCAGAAATCGGACCCCGTTAGACAGACAAATGCATCCTACATCCCACACATCCAAGAGATGAGAGGTAGCACGTGTAGTGCCATCAATGTCTTTGAACTTCACATGCTTCCACCATGAATTAATCTTTGAATTTTAACGTGGTCTTAATGCCTGTCACCATACCAGAAGTCATACAGTCTGATTCCCCCTGGGCATTTTATCATGAGACATTTCGGGCATGTAGAAATGTTAATAGGGGTATATAATAAACACCTTTATACTTACGACCTGCTTTCAATTGGTTTGGGGCTACAATTTGTGCTCTTAACCACAAGGTTTGCAGTTTGAAACCACTAGCTGCCCCATGGGAGAAAGCTGAGGCTCTCTGCTCCTGTAAGGTTCAAGCCCCAGAAGCCCTCAGGGGCGGTTCTGCTCTGTCTTACAGGCTTGCTATGGGTCAGAATCAATTCGACAGCGATGAGTTTGGTTTCTAGTTTTTCCATCATCAGCTTCTTGCTATATTTGCTCTATCACATCAGTAGTCTTCCGCACCTCCTTCTCTCCATCCATCTTTTATGCACTTATTTATTTTCTTTAATTCTAAGGAGGTCTGCAGACATTGGGCATCAGAACAACAAAGAACCTGTTGTTTGGTTTTATTTTACGTCATCGCTATATAATGCTGTTCTCCTTTTTTAAAGCTTTTGGACCATTAGGGCTACCTTTACACTTCCTGATATCTGCCACCATACCCACGTTCTAGGCTTGCTGTTAGGAGTTCAACAAAATGTAATCTTTCTAGCCTGGAGGGTGTCCTGGTCACTCAGCAGTTCAAGCCGGACTGCTAACCCAAGGAGAGACTGGTCAAAGGTCTGCCGCTGCCTGGGGGAACGCTGGGGCCATCCGTTTCCGTGAAGATCTACTTCTGTGGGAGCCCGGGGGCAGACCACTCTCTCCTCTAGGGTCTCTAGGAGTTGGCATCTGCCCGGCAGCAGCTGCAGAGTCTTGCCTTGGCACCTAAGCGGGCAGGGCGTATTGTTTTCTGTTTGCTGGCTCGATGGCGACGTGCGGCGCTCCAGGCTGGCGTCGGGTGGACCAGGAGGTGACTAAGGCTCCTGGTCCGTACACCCAGTGATGCTCCGCTTCCTTCTGTCCACAGGAGTGAAGGCCCCCTCGCCCTGGGCCACTGGCATGAGCTGCGCGTCTCACGCACGGCCAAGAACGGCATCTTGCAGGTGGATGCGCAGAAGGTCGTGGAGGGAATGGCCGCGGTAAGGACGCACCTTCTCCCCTGCTGGCTGGTGTGAGCTCGGTAACGGTTTTCTGTCTGATGTGGGGGGGTAAGCCCTTGGACTCCAATGCCGAAACCCTATCTTTCCACTAAGAAAATTGCTTAACGACCAATGGAGACTAGGGGTGATCATAGTCCGGTCCTCACGGGGGCATAGAGAGGATTCAATGAGTTAATGCAGGTAGAGTACTCAAAACGTGCCTGCCACTCACGCAGCCCCACGCCTCCCTGACCCTTGTAGGACATGCTAAGAGCGCAGACTCTGAGGGTGGGCCAAGGGTGCATGGGTGGTGAGTCTGTGACAAGAACACCCCCCTCCACCATTGCTGGAGAGCGTGAGTGTAGACTTGAAGGCATATCTAAGCTGTGGCAGGTGCCCCGATACCACCGGGGATGGGCAGGGTGGGTGAGTGGGGGCAGGCACCAAGCAGCTTCTATTAACCACTGTAGTTTCCATTACCAGTTGAGAGAGACCACTAAGCAGGTCAAAGCTGAAACTGTACCTAAGAGCCCCTTTCCTGACTTCCAGCCTTCTTCACCTGCTGCCTCCCTCCCTCACCTGCCTGCTGCCCTGCCCCAGGTGTCTGTGGCCCCAGCTGCCTCTGGCCAAACAGCCCATGGTAGCTACCCACCCACAGGACAAATGCCTACTATCAATCTGAAACCTTTCTAGACATTAGAGATTCGTTTCTGCTAATACAGCCTTCCACAAACGAAGGAAAAGTTACCTTGGACCAAAGAAGAGCCAAGGTGAAGGGGTGAGGGTATGGGGCTGCCAGAGCTGTTTGGTTTGGTTTGGTTTTTAATGGTCCTTAAAACAGGGTTTGGATTATTGAATTCATTGTCTGAGGTGCACAGTGATGTGAAATATTTAAGATGGGTGTCAGCTCTTTTGGGTTGCTGTTATTAAGTGCCGTCTAAGGCTAGGTTCTCTTAATATGTAATGTCTAATTTGTAAAGTGTCTTTCTTTTCCCATAAAGCAATTAAAACAGGAATTTATGTTCCCCGAAGTGTGTTCATTGCCAGCCATCTCAAAATTTTAATCTCTCCTTCTGTGTTAGCTTGTGGTCTTTTCAATTTCCTCTTGGGGAAGCTAGACGAGGCATAAAGAAGGCTGAAGAAGAATGGGTGGTTTTGAATTACAGCGTTGACAAGCATCATTGACTATTCCATGGAGAACAATGATAAGGCTTAGAAGAAGGACAGCCAGAAAGTTCCTTAGAGGAGAGGATGTCTCACGGACTTTGGACAGATGATCAGCAGGGACCAAACCCTGGAAAAGGAAGCCAGGCTTGCTAGAGAATCAGCAACAAAGAAGACCCTTGTATCAGTCTGGGTACTTTAGAGAAACAAATCCACAGCAACTCATGTATAAGAGAGAGTTTTATATAAAGGTTAAGTGTGCATCAAGAAAACATCCCAACCCCGTGCTGCCCAAGCCCACAAGTCCAACATTAACCCATTAACCCATATGTCTGACACCAATCCACAAAGTCCTCCTCCATCTCACAAAACACACACTATGATGCCGACTGCAGGAGAAAAACCGAGTCAGTGAATGTGTAAGCATCTCAGCGCTGGCAGGGGTCTCCACACGGCTGCTCCAGCACCCAGGGCTGCATCAGGGTAAGTCCATGGGGCTTCTCCTCAGGGATGTCTTGCAGGAAGTGAGCCTTGCCAGCTGAAGCAGGGAACTGGCTAAGGCAGCTGCACCCTGGTCCGATCATCACAAAGCAAGAGACCCGAGAACTAGAAAGGTGAGGCTCACCAAGCCATTTATCTCTCCACCCTTCAATGAACCCCACATGTGTTTATCAGCCAAGTTGGCACAATAAACTAACTACCTCAACCCTCAACCTGATAGATTGACAAAGTGGCTTTAACAATGGGCTCAATCACAGCAACGATTGTGGAGATGGTGCCAGACCAGGTGGCATTTTGTTCTGTTGCACACAGGGTCATTTTGCATCAGAACTGACTCGACACACCGGGGTTAGGCTGGGTTGACTAGAGAAATGAATCCAGTGACATGCAGATATGTGTAAGAAAGAGCTTTATATCAAGAAGTAATTATATATCAAGAAAACATCCCAGCCCCGTCCAACTTATGGATACTAGTCCACAAGTCCCTTTCAGACTCACACAGCGACATGCAGTGATGCAGAATGCAGGAAGATCACAGGCCAGTGGGTGCAAAGTCTTGTGGATCCAATGTTGGTGGTAGCATGGCAGGGCTCCTGCAGTTCTCCGGGTCAGCAAGCAGGAAAGTCAAGGCAGAAGGAGAGAGGGAGAGGGAGAGACCGGCCTCCAGAGAGCTATATATCTCGGTTACATCTCTAAGGGAGCTCATCAAGCTGTGACCTGATAGACAGGCTAAACTCCACCCATATCTTCTTACAGGTGCCATGTTGACACCAATGGACACCTAACTATCACAACACCTACCAACATTATCATATAGTTCACCTTGCTGCTGAAGGCTCTTGTTTGAGCAAATGTAGACCTTACATGTTATGCACGGCTTATTACCTAGCCCGCCCACCGGGGTTTAGGATACTAAAATGAGAAGTAGGGGAAATGCCTTTGAAAACTGACAAAACGCATTCAAAAAGTAAGCAACAGAGGACGTTCTCTTCCTTTGGATGTGATAACAAAGAGGGTTCCCACGCACAGGCCTCTCTCCCTGTCTCCTGGCCTCCCAGGGTCCATGTTCACGGCTATGGAGCAAGGCAATGCCTGGCCATAGTGGAACGCTGACAAGTCCTCAGCTCTGCACCAAGTGTGATGGAAGTCTTGCTGCTCTCCCTCCTTGCCACCTGTGTTACTCGGTCACCCTTACATCCATGGAGCGGATGGCCACTCATGGTGCTCCCATAGGACAGGGGAGAACTGCCCCTGTGGGTTTGCCTGCCTGAAACTTTTTACAGGGTAGAAAGTTTCATTTTTCTCTCACAGAGTGGCTGGTGGTTTTGAACGGCTGACCTTGAGGTTAGCAGATCAACGCATAACCTCTATGCCAGCAATCTCCTGTGGTTGGTTTCACACAACCCCCAATAGCAGCAGCTACTAGTAAAGATTTGGGGGCACTGGTGGTTCCGTGTAGGATTCTCACCTCCCCGACAGCAGACCCAGGTTTGCTTCAGGCTAATGCGTCCTCAGGCACCGCCACCACCATTCAGTCAGTGGGGCAGTGTGTGTTGCTGTGAGGCCGGCCGGGTTTCAGCAGTGCTTCCAGATTGAGATGAACGAAGAGGAAAGGTCCCACGATCTACTTCTGAAAACCCTATGGATCCAAAGAGGCGGATCTGCAACGGGCCACTGGGAAAGCACCCCACCACACAGCATTTTGTTCTGTGTATAAGTAGAGGGTTCAGGTAGTTCTCTAGAGAAGCAAGTCTGGCTAGCAACACATGTACTTAGTACATGTATATAGAAAGAGCTTTATATCAAGAAATAGCTCACACAGTTGTAGAAGTGGGTAGGTCAAGTGCTGGTGCAAGTCTGTGGGTCACATGCTAAGCTGGAGTCCTCTCCTGACTCAGATAGCTGGTGGACCAGGAAGCAGAAAGAGGAAACAGGAAAACCACAGGCAGCCTGGTGGATGCAAAGTCAAATGAATCCAACATCAGCAGGCTGCCGATGGTTCCTGGGATCATCAGGCATTGTGGCAGGAGGGCAACAAACTGGATGCGGGATCCAGATCCAACAGAAGTGAAGCTTTCCCATGGAGTCAGCTTGAAAAGGAGCTGCCCACACCCCTGAGGAATTTTTCATCCAACTGCATCAAGGTTTTCTGTGACCTAATCAAGGCAAGGATGCACAACAGCTGCTGGCTGCTCACAGAGTTGATCACATCATACTAGATCCCATCATGGAGTTGATTACATTGTGCTAGATCCCATTGTGGGAAATTACTGCCAAACTACAGAGGAGAGTCCAACCAAATTGACACAAAATCTGTCACATTGAGTCCCTTGAGTTGGGGCTGACTGGATGGCGGATCTCAATAAGGCTTTTTTTCTCCCTCTTGCTGCTTGTCCACAATGGTTAATTGCAGCTTTACTTCAAGACTGGAGGAATAGTCCCTGCCCCATCACCTGGGATGACAGAGCCAAGGGACAGGTCAGCCACGCTCTGACTCCGAAAGCCCCTGTCTAGAAGGGACTCGTGTCTTTTCTGCCCATTTTTATTGGACAGAGCAAATCACATAAGTACACCTGAAATGGACAGGTTGGAGAAAATCCTCCTGCAGGAAGAGGACACCCAACCCTGGTAAATGGGAATCCAGTCTCCCACTCGCATCAACACATTCAAAGGCGATGGACACAGCTATCCCCATTGTACGGATGTTGAGACAGTCTCAGAGCGCTTAAGGAATTTGCTACCATTAACACACGTGAGAAGGAGCAATGGGACACTCAGCAAACATGCAGACAGAGCTTTGTGCTGCGTCAGGAGGCTGGCGCTCCCACGTTCCCAAGCAGGCACTAGCCGTACTGAGAGTCTGTTCCAAAATGACCCTGTTTCTTGTGTTCTCCCTGTCGGCAGGGCGGCTTCACCCAGATTAAGTGCAACACAGACATATTCATCGGTGGCGTGCCCAGTTACGACGACGTGAAGAAGAACTCGGGTGTCCTCCAGCCTTTCAGTGGGAGCATCCAGAAGGTACCGCCTACGTGTGCGCTGGTGTGGCCCGATCGCGGTTTCCACCTAGGACCCAGGGTACCCACTGAACCTAACCGGAATCTGGGAGGATGTTTGTCCATGCTGCAGATTTCTTGTTTTCTTATGACAGGATAGCTTCCCATCCCCGCTTTCTTCGACACCTGTTCCCGGTCCATGTGTAAGAGGCATTCTCTGAGGGTTCCATCAAGTAGGTTCCCACTCGGAGCGACCCCATGGGGCAGGGTGTGACTGCTCCTGTGGAGTTCTGAGGCTGTAAATCTTTACGGGAGCAGAAAGCCTGATCTTTTGCCCACCGAGTGGCTGGTGGTCTTGAAGTGCTGACCTCAAAGTTAGCAGCCCAGCATGTAGCCTGCACGTAGCTACACCACCACAACTCCCGGACCGGTACTCAGTGAAGACGCATTCTTACAGCAAACCCGTCCAAATATGCAGGAGCTGCTGAGTGTGGCACGTGGCAGAAGGTCCCCACAGATGCCTCTAGGGGGCAGGAGACTAATGTGTCAGTCAGGGTGGACTAGAGAAACAAACTCATAGACACACTTATTGTGTATCAGAAAGAGTTTGATATACAAGAGCAGTTGAATATTGAGAAAACATCCCAACCCAGTCCAGATCAAGTCCATAAATCCGATATTAGCCCATATGTCCAATACCAATCTACAAATTCCTCTTCTGACTCATGAAACACATGCAATGACCCCGAGTACAGGAAGATCACAGGAGAGTGGGTGGGAAGTATTGTGGCTCCAGTGGCATTGTAAGCATCTCAGCACTGACAGGGGTCTCTATGTAGCTTCTCCAGCTCCCAGGGCTCTGGTTGCATCAGGGTAGGTCCATGTGGCTTCTCCTCTGGGATGTCTCACAGGGAGTGAGCAGAGAAAGAGAGAGAGTGTGTGTCTCCTGCCTCTAAGGAGGAAATACCGGAGTTCCCAGGATCCTCAGGAGAAGGCTATGCCTACACAGAAGCCTCATTGGCTACATCCTGATTGACAGGCTAGACTCCACCCCTACACTCTTGTTCTTCAAACAGACAGCAGACTATGTGACTACAACAATTAGTGAGTCTAATAGTAATGAAGGCCCCCATTGATTACAATTGGCTCCCTCCCGAAGTCTGACTTTCATTCAAATGTGTGTGTGTGTTAAGTTGGATGATCAGCCAGTCAAATGTTTGTCTTTGTAGGTAGTGTACCTTTGGGTACCTCAAAAAGACTCTAGCATAATAATACAGTAATAATAATATTAATGTTTGGCTCCCCATCACCAAGCAGCTCCTGTTTGTTATCAAATGTCATTGTATGCACCTCGTATTTTAGTGCAGCCTCTCTGGGGGTTGGCAGAGAACGAAGCTTATATGTACCTTGGATGTTGGTGACACAGGGACTGCCGGTAGTCTTGGCTCTTTGCTTTGCTTCAGAGTGACTGACATTTCCTTGAAACAAGAATCAGCCAGCTCTGATGCCCAGCCTGCCCCACGGCTGACCAGCTGCTGTTTACCAATCATGTAAGCAAGCTCCTTAGAGCATAAAGGAAAACATCCTTCCATCGAAGGCTCAGAAAAGAAACCACTCAACTAGGGAAAAACTACTGGGCCCACCCCACGCATGCATGTCTCAGTTCTTCCTGGGGCCGCCGTGTCCCTGTAGATTAGAAGAATATCCTCCACCTGCTGGGTTCTCAGCTCAGGAACCCCAGGCATCTGGAGAAACCCACATTCCGTTCCCCCAGTGGGGCCTCAGACGGCTTTCCTTCAGTGGCCTTGCCTTCAGTGGTGCGGGGATCATGGATCCTCCTCCTCAGAGCCGAGGGGAACAAGAGAGACCCTGTGGCGGAGGAGGGCATTCCTGTGGCCAGTGGTCCACGGGGCCCTGGGAAGGGGCTCTGGGCTGTGTCCTTCTGCCCCAGCGCCGGGCCCAGAGGAAATATGCCTGAATTTTGACTGGCTATTGGGCTTCCCTTTGCTCCTGACCTCTGATGTCCGTGGCCAGTCTGGTCAGACCATCATCTCCCAGGAGTGGGACTGGCCGTGTTTCATATGCTCTTTGAAATTCTTGGAGTGTCTGGGCTACGCACCCAATTAACCTAACCCACTGGGCTGACAACCACACGCTGGCAGTTCGAGTCTTCCCAGGTGCTTTTTGAAAGGAAGGCCCATCGATGGTCAGTGGGCTTCTGAAGAAAACCCAACCTTTGCAAACCTGAGGGGCCCTGTGAGCCAGCACCCACTCAAAGGCAGCTGCTGGTGGGAGACCTTCCCCCACAGGGCAGAACTGGTGATTCTAGAAGGCACCCTTGATCTCCCCATTCTTTTCTGGCTCTGCCTTCCTTTTCATTCAGAGCACTCGGCCCTTTCTCACGCACACCCATCGGCCCCCCATGCCCAGGGACAGCAGCAGGCTGTGCTCTAAGCCCACCATGCGTGGCATCAGCTCGGCTTGCCCAGGCACATGGTCTTTGAAGTCCCTCACGAGTGTCATGGAGAGGGGAGATTGTGACAGGGTCCAGCTACTCTCCAGCAGCTTCTGGGATGCGGGGTGGGATGGGGAAAGGTTTTCCCTGCTGTTAGGAGTCCATGGACAGAAGTGCCCTTGGAGCCTCTGCTCCACGGGGCTCCTGGGAGGGGGCCACAAGTCTGGGAGTGTTGTGAGGTGCCCTTTAAATGTCCACAGTTCAGTTAACAAATACACCAGACCAAGGACTAGAAAACCTTGGTCAACTTATTCGAGTCTGGGTAACCCCTCTCTGGGAGCAATGCTTAAAACACTCTGCTGCTGATGGAAAGGTCTGCAGTTCAAACCACAGTGGCTCTGAAATAAGAAAACAATGCAGCCCGCTTCCACAATGCTTTCTAGCCTCAGAAACCCCGTGGAGCGGTTCCCTGTCCTATTAGAACTCTGAGTCCGAGTCCACTGGACGGCAGTGGGCTTGACCCCTGTTGGGTCTGAATGGTGGTTCAGCGTACAATCCTTGCCTTTTATAAGAAAGACCCAGGTTCCGTTCCTGGCCAACACACATCAAACACAGCCACATCTGTCCGGGGAGGCTTTGCATGTGATGACGTTGAGCTTTGCGACCAAGACAGACGAGAAAGAAAGACCTGGTGCTATACATTGGAAAATCAGCCAGCGACAGTCCTATGGATTGTAATGGTTCGCTCCCGCTGTGCTTGGGGTCGTCCTGCATCCAGGACCAACATGATGGCAGCGAGCGGCCACCACCGAGCCCCTCTGTCATGCCTCTGTTTGCCAGGGCCACAGTGCAGGGAAAGGAGGGTGAGAGACGCTCTCTGCCTGGTGAATTTGCTCAGCAGGAGAAAGATGAACACGGGCTTCTACTGTGGATGATGAGTGAAGGGGTGTGATACAGAGGGGGGCTCCTGAGCTTGCAAAGCCTAGAAAGATGTTCTCTGAGTCCCTGAATGTCTACGTTTTTCTGTCCCCAAGATCATCCTGAATGACCGGACCATTCACCTGAAGCATGACTTCACAGCTGGGGTGAACGTGGAGAACGCCGTCCATCCCTGCGTGGGGACCCCCTGCATCCATGGTGGCAGCTGCCGGCCTAGGAAGGAGGGCTATGAGTGTGACTGCCCCCTGGGCTTCGAGGGGCTGCACTGCCAGAAAGGTAGGCCCCTCCCCCAGGCGTCTTCCCCCACTTCTTCTGTGGGAGGGGGCCGAGGGGCATCCTGCTGCTGTGCTGAAGGAAGATTGGGTAACAGCAGTTCCAGACACTCTGGTTGTGTTTATTAATGATTTGAGTAAATTAGTTGGTGATGGCTGTGTTAGGCCAGGTTGACTACAGAAACAAATCCAGGGACATAGATGTGTAAGAAGGCTTTAGGTCAAAAAGTAATTGTATATCAAGAAAACAGCCCAGATCAAGTCTGCAAGTCCGATACTAGTCCATAAGTTCCTCTTCAGACTCATGCAGCCTCATGCAATGATGCAGAATGCAGGAAGGTCACAGGCCGGCCGGTGGCGAGTCTTGTGGATCCAATGGTGGTGGAAGCATCACAAGGCTCTGGCAGGTCTCAGTGTGGCTCCTCCACAGGAAAGTGAAGGCAGGGTGGGGGGGAAGAGTGGGGTGGTGGTGGCAGGGGGCGAAGGTGTGTGGTTCCAGGATCCTCCTTATGAGGCGGTCCCACCTACAAGGAGGCACCCTCAGGCTGTGACCTGATTGATAGGCTAGACTCCACCCCTGACCTGATTGACAGGCTAGACTCCACCCCTACCCTTTACATTGATACAGAGTCATGCAACCATCACAATGATTTACACGTCAACTAATGTACAAACCACCTTTTTTCCATCCTACCTTAACTTCTATGTCTCAATTTCCTCATCCGTAAAACGGGAAGAATACTAACAGTATGTGACACTGAGGGCTGTAGTGTAGATTAGATAAGAGATGCTTGTAAAGCCCTGGGCTCTGGTAGCCTAGCAGGTTATGAGCACTTGTTCACCTCAAGGTCAGTACTTTGAAACCATCAGACACTCCTCAGGAGAAAGGTGGGACTTTTCTACTCCCGTGAAGAGTTACAATCTCAGAAACCCCCAGGGGCAGTTCTACCCTGACCTACAGGGTCTCTGTGAGTCAGAATTGGCTCATCGATAGCAGCAAGTTGTTGTGCTGCTGCTGTTGTTGTTATGCTTATAAACGGAACTTGGATGGCACCACACTGGAAGCTTGGGTGGGTGTCGACCTCGGCTGCCTGCTGGTCTGACTTCCGCTGAGCTGCTCCAGGGACCCCTGAGGCCACTGAGCTGGTGTTCTCATAGCCCTGCCCCCATGCACCCCTCCCTACTGAACCTTCCTGTCTCTGTATGCCCATCAAGGGGCTCCCCTGCCAGGCACTCAGGGTGAAAGGGCAGGCCAGTTGGAAGGAAATAAGCAGCCAGCCCCGGTGAAGGGATGTGCACACTCTCCTTTTGTCTCCTGGCTCCTGATTCTGTCTCTAAAGGCATTAGGTGGCCGTGTGTTTGCACGTTGGGCTGTGATCTGCCTGTTTCAGAGGTGGAAACCACGAGCAGCTCCGCAGGAGAGAGACTGGGTTTTCTACTCGCGTCAACAGTGAGTCTCGGAATCCCACCGGCGTTCTCTGTGAGTCAGCACTGACTGATGGCAGCGAGGGAGGGAAATTCATGGCAGACTATCTGCCATGTGTTAGTCTGATATTAGCCCGTGTGTTCGATACCAGTCTGTAAATTCCTCTTCAGACTCACACAATGCATGCAATGATGCTGAATGCAGGAAGATCGCAAGCCCGTGGGTGGAAAGTCTTGTGGATCCAGTGGAGTAGAAGCATCTCAGTGCTGGCGTGGGTCTCCACGTGGCTCCTCCAGCTCCAGGGCTCTGGCTCCATCAGTGTAGCTCCATGTGGCTTGTCAACAGGAATGTCTCACAGGGAGAGAATCTGGCTTCCTGTGAGCTATTTATCTCCATGGCACCTCCAAATGAGGTCATCAAGCTGCAGCCTGATTGACAGACTAGACTCCACCCCTTCCTTAAGTTGACTGGAGATTATATAACTGCCACATGTGGCATTTAGAGGGTTGGGCACGTGCAATCATAGCAGAAGTTATTGTTTAACAGAAATCCTGGTCCATCTGTGAGACAGCAACATTTCTCACTTGAAGACACACGAGTATTTCTTCCAGCTAGCCACTCCTTGAAAGCAAAGTGGTGAGTCATCGAACGCACACACCCACATTTAATGCATTGCATTGGGTAAATCTGCACAAGGCTTCTTTAAAGTGTTGAAAAGCAAGGATGTCACTTTGCGGATGGAGGTACGCCTGATCCAAGCACAGTATTTTCAACGGCCTCCTACGTGTGTGAAAGTTGGACGTTGAATAGGGCAGACCGAAGAAGAGAGATCCGTTTGAATTGTGGGGCTGGCGAAGAAGATTGGTAGCACCCGGACTGCCAAAAAGAACAAGCAAGTCTGTCTGGGAAGAAGTGCGGCCCGGCTGCTCCTTAAAGGCAAGGATGGAGAGACTTTGTCTCACTTACTTTGGACATGCGCTCAGGAGAAGCACACCACGCTTGGTAAAGCAGCGGGGCAGTAAGTGAGGGGAAGGCTTTCCACAAGATGGATGGACGCAGTGGCTGCATCGGTGAGCTGGGCCGTAAGGACAACTGTGCGGATGGTGCGGGGCTGGGACGGGTTCTGTTGTGCATAGGGTCGCTGTGGGTCAGAACCTCCGGGTCTTCTAACTCACAGCCACGCCAGATGCCCACAAGCATCAAGTTGACTGGATGTTCCCCTGCTCGTCCATTTGAGGGCCCACTTCTTTCACCTCAAACCACCGGCACCCCATTACCTCAACCCCTTTCTCATCCCACGCTGCTATTGCCTCTAGGTGCCGTGAAAATGCATTTGGACTTACAGAGATCCCTCGTCAAAAAGTACACTCCCCATCTCTTCCTCTTTCCTCTCATGAAAGCGTGCCTATCCCGTATCTTTGTTCTTCACAACCAAATCACCAGGAAGCCAAGGCAGTTTCACACGCCGCATGCAAAACCCTTTGCTCTTCGGAATATTAACGGCTGCTTTTCACACAAACATTGACACACATCCATACAGTGTCACACACACACACACACACACACAGAAGCAGATGTTTGAAGAACAACAGTTACATAGCTTGCTCTCCTGCCGGACTTGTCAGAGCCTGTGCTTTACTTCATGGGCCGAGAACGGGCGTGCAGAACGCAGTTGTTTTCTCTGAGGTTCTTCCCATCAATGGTGGGCAGGTCTCTCCTAGCCCACCCAGTGGGATTCCTGCAGCGCCTGCATGACAGGAGGGGACACTCAGACTGCGCAGATGCCTGCCGGCCACGAGATGGCGGTGTTCCTCCGTAGCCGGTGGCCTGCTCACTATAGCGTTGGCTTTGGGGCACACATTCCACAGGGATGCTCCCCAAGCATCAGTTTGTGTCTGCTCAGGGCTGATTGCTCTACAGGGAGAAGATTTTAAAGTTATTATTATTAGCGGAATCACATCAGATTGATAGCTGGGATTGATTTGGGTGTGTGTTTTTTTGGTCCTAGCATACATATATATTTTTAAACAGCCTCAATGAATTTGCTGTATTGAATTCAAACTGTCACATTTTGGACTAACAGTCAAGGGCTTAAGCCTGTGTACCACTCATAGACTCCTTCAATAGAAGCTATACTTTTAAAACAAACAAACAACAAAAATACCCTCCTTGGTTTATAAAGACACAAATGAATAAAAGGTATAAATTATGCAAACTACAAGGGATTTCTTTCCTTGGGACAGAGCGCCATTAAGTCACTGGAGAACAAGGACCCAGGATCCTGGTCTCTGGGTAGCAAAGGGTTGGAAATACAGGAAATGTTCTGCTTATTTCTGCTTTCTGGCTGCAAGATTCAGCGTATCGTTCTGTGGATTAACAGAACTCTCATCGTGCCAGGGTTTCTTCAGGATGATAGTTTGAAGGCATCGGAGGGAAGAGAAAGCTAGCCTACAGTTCCCCCAACTCCCAACCTCATCCCTCACCCCCAGGCCCCCAAAACCACACCAAACCCATCGGAGTTGGTTTCCAAGCTATAAATCTCAAGAGCAGACAGCTTCATCTGTCTCCATGGAGTGGCTGGTGGGCTTGAACCTCCGACCTTGTGGTGAGCGGTGTGACCCCCGGCTCCTTGCTTTCTCTGGGGACCTGTGATCCGGGCCTCCTGTCCACTCTTTTTTGGCCAGCGGAGAATTTCAAGCCCCTCCCTTGTAAACATTACTGTGCCTGCCCTGGTGCACAACCCACACTCATGGGTGTCCATGGGCAGCGTGATGGAAACACGTTTCAGGGGTGCTGCCGTGGGGTAGACAGTGCGGGGGGTGGGGGGGCAATAATGGGTGAGCTGGACACATAATCGTGTGTAGAAGCATGTGAGCACACACAGGGCCACCAGAAAGTGTTTCCAGTTGGACGCTACTGTTGTCCCAGGTCCCAACTCAACCGAGTATTGCTTTCACCAAAGCAATGTCTGTGGTGACATTTTGGGAGGGTGATGTTTCACCACATAACCAGATCTGTGGGATTGGCCAAGGAAGGGGGGACGTGGCATAATGGTTTCTACGGTGGAGAGAAAAAAAGAGTGGGCTGGCTGGCTGGTCATTCCTATCCCCCCGCCCACCACCCCTCACCGGCCCCCCCTGCCCCTCCCCCCATGCAGCTTGCTGAGGGAAATCAACCTCTTTGCTAAGGTAAGTAACTCTTTAGCCAAGAACCGTTTCTCCCGGTTGGGGTTAATGTTTACTACGGTGTGGATGGTGCGAGCCAGGTTACTCAATGTCCGGAGTGTTCCCGGACTTACTAATCACAGCCTGCTTCCTACCCACCCGCAGCCCACTCCTCCTCTGTTACACTGAGATGGGGAGGAGAGGCCGGTTACTGGGAAAGAGTTCTAGGGACCCAACTGGGACTCAAGGTCGCATTCCGGTGGGCATTCGGGGTTGGGTAGGACTTCCTGAGGTCGCCCAGGCTCCCGGGATTTGACAATGACTGTGAAATTCTGTCTCTCCCTGTTGTTTCATGCTGGCACTGGGCAGAGTGTGGGAACTACTGCCTCAACAGTAAGTACAGTGAGTTCTCTGAGAGCCCACGGAAGTCCTCTGGCCTGGGGCCAGAGCCTGCCCTGGCAGGCGGCACAGTCAGCCAGGGTGGATGGCACAGGGAACAGGGACACGACTGCCCCAGGGACGGGGAGGAATCCTCCCTCCCAGGCTGGGGCCTGAGGAACACTGGCTTCCCTAGTGGACCGTGGTCAGGCCTGAGCTCAGGTGGAGCGAGCAAGCAGCTGGCTGGGTTCCAACAGACTCCTCTAGAAGACCCATGGGCAGAGCTGACCCAGGACAAGCGCGTCCTCCCCATCGGAAGGTGTCCAGGGGGACTGTGGCTGTTGGCCACAGAAGAGAGGTCCGTCATTGGCCCGCAGCCACAGGGGTGAGGGCCCGGGCTGCACCTCTCACCCTGGGTCTCAGCCAAACCAGGTCGGGGTTCCGTGGTGCAGTTTGGCTCTGGCGTGGGCACCTCCTCCACTTGAGTGATCTGTCCGGTCCTTCTCCGCTCCCAGTGCTCAGGCCCCGAAGCCGAGGCCACTGTCCAGTCAAGAGCTCCCATCGATCTCCTTAGTCTTAGCTTTTACTTATCGTGGCGGTTGTGGTTAGACGACACCAAGTTGGCTCTAACCTACAGTGACCCGTGCACAACCGAAGGAAACGCTGTCCGGTCCTGCGCCATCGGCACGGTGTCCCCAAGCCTTAGCCCATGGATGTCGCCATGGCGTCAACGCATCTCCTTGAGGTCCTTCCTCTCTTGTTGTGCCCTCCGCCCCTTTTTTTATTACCAAGCACGCTGCCCCTCTCCAGGTGCTGGTCTCTCCCCTGAGTAGGGTTTTGACTCCGTGTGGCGGGCACTGCGCGCTTGGTGTTCGCGTTCGGTGATTTCCACTCTCCTTTTACCCCTTCGTTGGCTTCTTCCCCTTCTCTTTCCCGTCGCTTGAACTCACACTTCCTTCCTCTGGCTCAGGACTTGACTTTGCCTCAAGGGCACGCATGTCCCCACCCTGCATCTTGTCTCCACTCCTTTCTGGTAACGCTCTGCCAGTCGGGTTCCTTCTCCCCCCTGTTCGCCCCAGTGTCCCCCCACCCCGTTCCCTGCCAGTGGGCGGCTGCTCCTGCCCCTGGCTCCCCTTTCACCCATGTGGTAAGTGGGGGCTGACTCCGTGGCAGCGAGTTTGACTTTGAGGTTTCTCTTCCTGCTCAGGTACCGGGTGGGCAAAGTCCAGAATCAAGAGAGGCAGGTGTACCCCAGAATGGACGGCTGCTAGGGCTCTCGTTCAAACACGCACAGACAGATGGCAAGCAAACGAGTGTAAACATGACGCTGTGATCCGTGGACGGCTACAGACACGTTCCCTCCGTCAGACGCTGGCCTTAGTCTCTTTAGGGCGCCTCTCAACCACCACCCCCAACCCCACCCCCACCCCACCCCCAATCGAAGCAGTGGCTTTCAAGGGCATCTGCTGGGCAGTGAACTTCAAAGCAGAGAGCAGCTCAGAAGACCATGGTGACTCTTTGGGGGAGTTCAGGGTGGTCCTCTTGATAAAGCTTCTTGAAGCAGGTAGGACAATGGTCACTCTCGCTCCCTCACTGCCATCGAGCCGATCCCAGCTCAGAGTGAGCCTAGAGGACAGGGGGGAACGTCCCCTGTGAGTTTCCGAGACCCTGACCCTTACTGGAGAAGAAAGCCCATCTCTCTCCTGCGGAGTGGCCGGTGGTCTCACACTGCCGATTGCACAGCCCAAAGCAGAACCACCGGGGCTTCGTCTGGGATGCTCCGCGGGTTTGTTGCAAAGAAGGCTGAAGAAATTCAAAAAGTGCATTTATGAGGAAAAGGCCAGAAAAGTTGTTGCTGAGGAGTTTATTGATTTATTTCCTACCAGGAGAATGGGAGAAAGTTCTGGGGAAACCTTAGCCCAGCCACCCCACAGCCCTTAGTGTGCCCTTTCCAACGTCTCCTTCCCCAAACTCTGAAAAGACGCGAAGGAGCAGGAACTGAGTCCCTAGAGCAGCGGTTCTCAACCTTCCTCATGCTGCGACCCTCTCATACAGTTCCTCATGGTGTGGTGACCCCTCCACCCCAACCATAAAAGTATTTTTTTCCCCTCCCTCCATCCTCCCGGTATCGCCACTGT